TTTTTTGTACAAAATCTGCACAGAGAGTGACCCAGGCCCTAGGAAGGATGACCCGGGCCAAATACGATACAGGAAAAAAAAAAAAAAAAAAAGTAATGTAACGATTCAAGTACTGGCTTCTCTGAAGAAAGGAGAAAAAAAAATCACATACATGTGTGTCATTTATTTCAGTTGCGCTGAGGGAAGAGAATGCGGCTTCTCTCCCTGTCTCCTCGTCGCTGGGTAGAACTAACTCTAAAACACCAATTTCTCAATACTGAACCCTCCCAAATCGCAAGAGTTTTCCTTTTCCCCTTCCTTTTTTTTTTTCTTTTAAAGCTGATGAGCTTTTCTCTATCTTGTTCTTTCCTTTTCTTTTTCGTGCTCTCTCCCGCTTGGGTTGGGGTATTTTTGTGGGGTTTTTTGATTTTCCCTTGGCTATGCCGAGGCAGCAGGCTGGGCAGGGTTTAGGATTGCTCCTTGTCGGTTTTCTCTTTATTCATCTTTTTCATCTTCATCCTCCGGTTTTGAAACCAGATTTTGACCTGCCGCTCGGTGAGGTTGAGAACCCGGGCCACCTCGTACCGACGGTCCCTTGTTAAATACATATTGAAGAGAAACTCCTTCTCCAGTTCCAGCGTCTGGTACTTGGTGTAAGGGCAGCGCTTCTTCCTCGTGGAGCGGGCGTGGATCCAGTTGGCCACGGGGTTGTCTGGAGGGCCAAACACAAGCAGGGGTCAGTGGAGCCCCCTTGCAGCCCAGGACACTTGCCACCCTACCCCCAGGCTTGCCAGGCTTCCCAAACCCAATAACTGAACCTGAATTTGGACATATTTTGCTTTAGGAAATTTCTACCTTCTTAATTTTGCATTTTATCCCCTCCCTGTCTCCCTCCTTTTCAGTTTCCAGCACCTAAAACTGTAGGAAATCTGAAACTATCAAATCCTTAAGTCTGGTCCTCAGTTTCAAGAGTAGTAATTTGAGAATATCCTCATAAAAAGTCCAAATTCCCAACCGTTTCATAGGCCCATAAACGCTGCTCTCTCTTGTTTTTTATTTTTATAGCGAGGTCTCTCTCCTCCCCACCTCCCTCCTCCTCTGCCCCCTCCCATCTTCCCAGCCCACGACCAAGTCCTGAAATTTCAGCAGTTCTGCTTCCTGACCCTGAGAGTCCCCAAGTCCTTCACTACCCTCTCCCAGCACTCATCTCTGTACAGACTTCTACCCTGCTGAGGCGAATTTTCAGGGTGATGCTGGGATGAGCAAAGCCTTGCTCCTCTCCCCAGAGAAGTGCTGGACTTGGGGATAGGTTCCCCTATATCTTAGCTTCACTGTTTGGCTTCCAGTGCCCCTCTCCTACCAGCCCCAGGACAGGCTCTGCAGGAGACAAGCCTCCAATTTCAGGTTTATGGGAGTAGCTAAAGGCAGGGAGGGAAGTCTTCAGAGGGGTATAATTAGGCCCTGGCCCATTATGGGGCTGGAGGAAAGGATTTCCTGCAGCCCCCTTCTGGGACTCCCCCAGATACCTCCTCATACCCAAGGGGCTGTACCCTCTCTCCTGCTCTTTCCCCATTCTGACCTAGCAGCTCCCTGTGCCCCCCACTTACCCCAGCCCGTCTTTGCATTACTCTGCAGGCTCCTTCCTCTCTTACTGGAATCTATGTGTGTATGTGTAGAATTCTCTAATCTGATGGGGAGATGCCACCCCAACTTCTCATCCCTGACTCCCACTCTCCACCCTTTCTTCTGCAGATCCTCAGAAGAGGGTTCTCAAGTTAAAGGAGAATCAGACCCCATGTCTCTCCTCGAACTCTGGAAGTCTTCTTCATCTCCTCAAGTTTCCTTACTGCGGAAACCGCTCAGACCTCTCACTCCCAGTGCTCCTGGGAAGGAAAAGCCCATGGACCTTCTCTTTCAGGAGTCTCTAATGGGGTGATGAGTCCCATGCTGACTGGGTGACAGGGTTTATTTTTCTCCCTGGGGTATGTCCTCTCCTCTGTCCCCAATGCCCTCTCCCCTGTCCCATCTCAAAGTATAAAATGAACCTCACCCTCGCCCCATTCCCTAGCCCTGTATACATTTCTTGGAAAGTGGTGCCTAAGCCCAAAAGCCTGGAGTAGGGGAGGAGGGTGGGGAGGTGTCTCTCATCAAAGCTAGTTCCTAGGAGAGGATCCCCCCTCGGCCCTCTCCCAACCTGGCTCCCTGGGCCCCCTTCTCAGACCTTCCTGTCCCTGAAAGCTACTCAAGGTAATTCGCTTTTATTGAGTCCTCGTCCCCTCGCCCTCGCCCCTCTCCCGCGCTCCCTGAGCCGCTCTGAGGGGCTGTAATCCGGCTCCCCCACACCCCCCGCCCGTCCTCCCCTCCCCTCCCGCGCCTGTTGTAAAGGAAAATTGCTCCCAACTTACTGGGGTCCAGGTCGGCCTTCTCCTCTTTGTGCTTGCTGCCGGCGAGGGCGTCCGCCTCGGGCGAGGGCAGTGTCTGCGGGGCGCGGTCGCGCAGCTCCCCGGGCGAGCCGTACATGTAGTCCGGGTAGCTGCGGCCGTCGCCCGGGCCGCAGTCTGCTCGGCGCCCGGGGTAGGCGTCGGGCTTGAGGGCGTAGTGACGGCCCCCAGCCGGGAAACTGGGGAAGGAGACGGCGCCGGACAGCGGCTCGAGCCAAGTCCGCATGTAGCGCGTGTCGGCGCCGAGGTGGGGCTGGGGGCCGTACGGGTGGTATACCACGGACGACTGCGAGGGCACCGGCGCCCACGACGTACTGAACACTGCCGGCTTGGGCGCGAAGCTACAGGACGGAAAATCGCTACAGTCCGGCACCAAACCGCTGGGTCTGGCTGCAGCGGGGTGAGCCCCCGTGGCCGGAAACCTGGACGCTAGGAGGTCTTCATTGTCGTGAGAGATGAGCGAGTCCACGTAATAGTTACTGATGGGCCCCGTCGCCGACATCGTAACAGGGTTTTACATACATAAGATTATTGTATGAACTGTATATGTACTTTTTATCTGCTCACAGAACAATCAAGGCAGGTAATTATTTTTCCAGCCTTTTCCCCGCAGCTCATTGGCTCACCGGCCCCCACGTGATCGTATTTACCCAAAAATACGGCGCGGATCAATGCGCAGAGGCTTTTTTTTCCCTTGGTTTTTTTTTTTTCTTTCTCCCACCCCCCATCTCTCGGCTGATCCCCGAGACCTACGTTTTCCAGGGGGTCCGGAACTCTGGACCCAAGGCGCTGGACAACCCCTCAGGAAGGCTCGTATTGCATCAGATAACCCCCCCTGCCCCTGTCCACCCACAAGTAGATGGCCTCCCCGCTCCCCCACCATGAGAATATTTTTAATGGGGTGAAAATTCCAGTCCTAGAATCCAGGGTCCCTGGACCCCCAGGGCCGAGCGGATGCAGGAGTCCCACAGGGGCGGGGAGGCCGGCCGAGGTAGGTGGAGGAACTATTTCTTGACGTAATCTGTCTCTGTCGGCTTCCAAGCTCCCGCAGTCTCTGCGCGAGCCTAGATCAGCGATTGTCAGTTCGGAACGTGGCTTTTAAAAATGCGTTTTTAAATAGTGTGTATGTATGTATTTCTTCCTGGAGCAGCAGCAGCGAGGGAGGGAGTGTGGGAGGGGACTAGGGAAGCTGGCGAGGAGGAAGGGAAGGGGGGAAAGGGGAGCGTCATACTGCCACTGGCCAACTCAGTCCCCCAAATCTGGGATAGGGAAAGCTTGGGAAAAGTGGTCCGCGGGTGGGAGGGGTGGGACTTTGGGGTCCTATACACCTTTATCATCAGCCTCAAAAGTCCGCTCTTTGCCTGGGCACAGATATACAAGAATCTTTATTTAAAATTTATTGTCTATATTATTTATCTTTCTTTTACCAGCTTGAAGAAGTGGAGGAGAGATCTACACAACTTAAGTGGGGCATCCCCATCCAGTCTTCCTGCTCACCCTTTCTTGCCCCCAACCCCATCTCGGAGACATCCTTAACCCCCCCTCCCCTCAAAAAGAAGTCAACTCCCGGGCTCTGTCTACAGAGAGCCAGGGTGAGAGCGGGCAAGGCGAATGAGCGACCTCGGTCGTGGGCAAGTAGCTTGTTTTTACGTCCTTCAATAAAATTTTTATGAGGATCATTTGATTGTTCATAAATGTGTCTTTCATTAAATAAAATTGTAGGCTGTTTTTGGAACGGGAAAAAGGCAATGAAGGGCTAGCAGGAAGCCATTTATTTGGGGTTGAATGCAGGAATTCTGGAAGGGGTAGTATGATTAGAAGAAATATCAAGCAACTTGGAGTCATTACCCCAATAAGTTGGTTATGATCCTCCTCCTTGAATTTGGGGTTCATTATTCAACCTCCTGCTTTTCATCAGATTGTCCAGGGGTTACTTAGAAAAGGGGGCTTCAGGCATGCAGGGAATTCTCAGTGTGGGTGCAGGAGAGGAGGCAGAGAGGTTGGCTGTGGGGAAAGGGACAGGTGAGAAGGAGAATTGGTCCCCAGAGACACAGTGCACTCCAGGCAGGTGGGGCAGTGAGTTTGAAGGAGGGGTGCAATTTCAGGGTCAGAGAGGATGAGAGCCAGTCTGTGCTCCGTGAAACAGGCTGGAGCTTAGGCTAAGACATAGGCTCTGAGGCGGGCAGGAAAAGAGGAGGCTTCCCAGACCCAGACGCCCGCCCTTCTTTCCTTCTCCTGTCCCCAGGAGGGAACCAAACGCCAGGGGTAGGGACAGGGGCTGGTTTTCTTCTGCATCTCTGTCGACCTGTCTCTCCTAGAGTGGAGATGGGCTGGAGAGAGGTGTCTGAGAGTGTGTGTCTATGTGTTGGAGGGGAGGAAAGTTTGGGGGATTGGTAGAGCTGTAAGTCTGCCACATCATTTCCAGCTCACCAGGCCCCCACCTCAGTCCCTGCTCTTCCCCACTACCCATTCTTTTCATTTCGGTCTATCCGGGCTGAGATTTGAACGGATGGATGGATGGATGGATGGATGAATGGATGGATGGATGGGTAGGCAGGGGATGAGAAAAGTGCTTCATCTATGACCCAGGGACCTCAGTGTCTTAGCCCTCGCTTGACTGTCTTCTCCTCCTGGGGCTTGGAAGGACTGGGACAGACAAATCACAGCAAGAAACAGAATCTCTCTTTGGCCTTGATGGAGTGGGTTTAGCTGTCAATCAAAAAATCTCCCTCACTAGTTCAAGGAAAAGACTGGAGGTTCCATCCCCTGTGATACTCTCTCTAAATCCCCAGCATCTACAGCACCTCCCCCAGCCCCCAGCGAGTGGGGACCCTGCCCGGCTCTTGAGCGGCTGCAGGCAGCAATGAGCAGAGACATTTAGTCTTCAAGGGGCCCGGGGCCAGACTGTGACCAAGAGGACGTCAGGGGACCGAGACTGGGAGCGACTGAGCTGGCGACAGCCTAAGACAGACCAACTGAAACACGGCACCAGGCCCACAGAGAGAAAGAAAGGAAGGAAACAAGGAAATGGAGGGTTAGGAAAGAAAGAAAAAGAGAAGGGCTAATTAAAGAAAAGAAGAAAGGCAAGAGGAAAAGATAATGAGCCAGGAAGAGAAAGCGTGCAGAGAATGGGGCCGGGGAAAGGCAACGATACGCAGGCAAGACACAGGCAGGACGGGGCAGGGCGCGAGCTGGTGGATCAGCCATGGCATTGTGCAGTTTGCTTGCAGGGCCTTTGCGGCGGGACTGGCTCTGGGCGCGGCCGCCACTTCTGTCCGGACACAAAGGAGGAAGAGGCCTCCTCTCCTGCCCCTCCCGAAGACCTGCTCTGATGGGCACATTAGGCCTCCGGGATATAGAACCCCATTTCTGCGCAGGCAGCCACTCAGGCGGCTGGGGGCTGAGCCATATTCTAGTGAAGGAGCCAAGAAGAAGAAGAAGGCTTCACGCCCCGCTCCTGTTTTGCATCTTCGCTAGGCGGAAGGGCCCCGCGGCGCTGAGCCTCAGCTTTCCTAGAGAAAAGACACCCCTACGGACAGACCCTCTTGAATTGGGGCTCCGCTATTTCGAGGAGGCCCTCAAATCGACAATGTGGCTGTAAACAGACGTCCCTTTCTCTCCCACTCCTTTTGGTCACCACTTCTTTTCAATTCATGAGCTGCCTGCACACCCTGCCAGTCCTGCTGGGTCGGGGCAGCTGGATCTCTGGCCCGCGCTCCCTGCTGCCGTCAAATCCTCCGTGAAAGCGAGGGGAGATTGTCGCCTTCCTCTCAGAGCGTGAACTCGGACCCTCTCCACTCAGGCGCAGGCACAGCTGTGGATCAGGAAGCAGGCCTCGCCCACACCCTCCTCCCGCCAATGCCCCATTTCGCCTAAGCCTTGTCAAGAGAGGCGGCCTTGGGGAGGGGGGCTGGAAGAGACTGAGAGTCCCTGCGCCCACCAGGACCAGATCTTAAAGGTTCCACAATTGCATTTAGATTGTAGTTCCCATTCCCCTCCTTCGGAGGTGGGGTGGCAGGACAAGGATCTGAAGCAGGCTTTCAGGCTCCCCCCGCCCCCATATCCAAGCTTGTGTATCTGGGAGTATAAGCAATGTGGGGGGCACTCAGAAGGAGGAGCTCACTCCCCTGGATTCACTTACTCCCTCTGAATTTCCCGGGAGATCCCACTGCTCCCTTTCACCCCATCATTCTCTTCAATTTTCCTCAGCACCTCTGGGGTGAACCCCTGGGGCTGGAGGCTGTTGGGAGTCCCTATTGGGAAGGTGGGAAATCCTAGCTTTAGCTGGGATCTTTGCATTCACTTCGGTTTTAAGAACTCCCTTTCCACCCTAAAGGATGGGTGCCAGAGAGTACCCTAAGGAGGAGGGGCACCCTTACTCTATCACCTCAAACCTAAGCAACTGAGACCAAAAACAAACCAGAGCTAGTACAGCAGAAAGGACAGACAGACAGAAAGACAGACAGACTAGAGTCTTCCCCTCCTACTGTCCCCCTCCCTTTCAGTGATTTAAATTCCCTCCGGTTCAATCTGCACCGTCAAGTTCGGATTAAATTTAAAACAGGCTGGGGGGCGGGCAGTGGGTCATCCCCAGCGACCACAGGCAGGGAGTCCTCTCCCCAGCTCCTTAGCACCCGCCCCGCTCGGAGGAGGCCGTGCTCCATTTGCTTTCATTTTCCTTCTCCCCCTGAAATGGGCTCATTTCACCTCCTCTCCGCTGCCCTCTTCCCCTCCCCAACCCCTCCCCGGTTCTCCTCTACTTTCCCCCCTTCTCTCTCCTGATCCCTCTTTGTTGGGGAAAAAAAAAACACACCCACACACAACTCCTCCTAGCTCAGGCCTTCGCTGGAAGAAGAAACTGAGTTCTCCAGGCCTGCCGCGAGAAGACCACGTCCTGTCCCCACCCCAGGTGGGTATCTGGGATCCCTACACACCAGGAGTCAGGCCCCCAAAGCCCAGCAGGCGTGAAACCCCCAGGGACTGTGAACGTGGCCCTCTCAACGCCACGGCCTGCCGGGCTTGCCTTCCCGCCGGTACCCCCGCCCAGGCGCCCCGCTGCAAACGGGGCTATTTCCGGCTCCCCCAACTCTTTCTAGTTTCCCAGCAAAGGGAGTAACTGCAGGGGGAGCAACCCCCAGGGCTAGGAGTGCTCTCTGCCCTGCGCCTATCTGGCCCTGAGCGGCTGTTACCTGATCTTTTTTGTGATGTGCCTGTCGCAAGGAAATTTGCAGTGACTTTGGAGCCTAGACTGAAGAAGCAGAGGTGGCGAAATGAGAGACAATACGGACGAAGTATAATTAAGGGGCCAGAGCCGCTCGTCTCTCCTGCTTCCCTGCCTAACTGGAAGCTGTCTGGCTTCAAACCACAGGGCGACCCGCGAACCTGGAGTCATAGACACTGTCCATGGCGGAGGGAGCCAAAGGATCCTGCAACCCAGAAAGCAGGAGGAAAGGCCCCTTCCAACTTAGGGGCGCAGCAACTAACACCGCTGTGTTGCACAGAAACCAATGAATGAGAGTACACATTCCGACGGATTTCCCCAATTTTTTCCAGCGTTTTGAAGGAGAGTCCAGGATTTGGGATCTCTCAGACAGACAG